TATCGAAGTGGAAAAATGTCGAAAAAATAATATCGACATGAAAAATGGATGATAAATGTTTTATACAGTTGTGAATAATGAAGAACATGTTTTATTATATGAGTTAACGTTAACGTTCTAAGAGAGACCAAATATAGATAATGAAAAAAAAAATCGATTTGTCATTTTTTCTGTTTAGCAACTGTAAATGATAAACCGTCTAAGTATTCCATAGCACTTATAGCACCATCATAATATCGTTGGCCAAGATTATCTATACGACGTTGAATAGCAATTGTTTTAGCTTGTTTTGGTCTAATGCCTAAACCTGCACTAAACTGAACATACATATGATGAAAACGATTTTCTTCTCCTTGCAAAATTTTTATGAATGGCCAAATATTTGGATGATTAACTTGTACTCGACGATTAAAACGACTATGAAATGCTATATTAAACATAAGAAAATGATATTTCGAGTTAAATAAAAGAAAAAGTTCACCTTCAGCATTATTATTGGTCCTTGTGTGAAGACCATGTACACACCATTGAGAAATAGGAACTTTGACATACTATTGCTGTTAAAAATATTCTAATAAATCATTTAGTGTGTCCTTCAATTGTTTTGGCATTGTTACAATTAATTCATCATAAGTATCTTCAATAATAGCTTCTGGTAGCAATGGGAGAGCCATCAATTTTCGACAATATTGTTTAACATCATCATCATCATTATAGGATGTTGATAAACCAACGCGTTGTATTGCTCGATATATGGCTTGAGTGAAGTGGAAATAGCAAGATGAGTGTGTTGCTGTAGCAAACTATTAAAAACAAAAATCTGTAAATTACTCTCGAGAAATATAAAAAGCTCACTTCAGTTGAAACTACAGCCAGTAGTCCTGGTTCAAAATCGCTCATGATTGTTTTTGGTGCAAAATTCAATTGCATTTGTAAAGCGATTGATTTCAATTCATTGAACATGAAATGATATGTACTTTTCTGTCGATTACGTAATAAACCAAAAACACAGGGAAATGCTAAATGGCAACATAATTAGATAAAGTTATATGATCTAGAATTATGCTCTTTACTCACATTGATCGTATTTTATTGCATGAATGGTGTACACTTGATCGAACATGTTCGGACAAGTAGAAAAAGTTCCATCCATTAGTATTGTTTCAGCAGTGAAAAGCATTTTCATTTGTTCATTTGATGAAAACAAAAGTATTCGTTGTCGTCTTGTTATCATCTTGTCAACAATCAAAAAATCATTTTTCTGCAATATTTTCGAATAAGCATCAGGAATATCAAATAATTGTGTCGTTGGGATTGTAGGTGTAATAGCCCGGCGTGCTTTGTTAATTCCACTATCTTCAAAGTATGAAAAAAAATCGTCAAGTGGACTTAAACCTAAAAAAATAATATTTGCATACTCATTTCACGTTCACTTGGTAATACAGCTATTGCAGCATCTGACAACATTGCTTTTGCACATTCTTCATCATATATACGTGGAATTGGTGTTGTTTCATTTATTGCTCGTTGTTTGACTTTTTCACGAAATTCACGAACTTCAAGTTTTTCTTTTTCTGGAAGATGATTATGATCACCAATCGTTTTAATCAATTGACTATTTAAATCTGTATGTAATTTAGCTGAACATCCATTAAGTGTACATATCCAATATTTAGTAGTAGTTGTTGTTTTATTCAATTTGAAAACATAGTTATTTGCTACGAGTAAAGGTTTTCCTTTATTTGAATTTATAAATGAAATAGTTGGAGATTTTGGTCGAGTAACTTCAACTGAAGATACAGCAGCTTCAGACATGACAATAGAATTTTATTTATATAATAGTTCTTCGTTCAACTCCTTTATTTAATTTATATTAGGTATTAGTCATTACAATTACTACTGGTTAAACTTCTATACTAGTAGAATTATAAGGAAAGTAAAAATGACCTAGACGTGATTAGAGTCACCATCCACTGAAGACATTATTTTTTTCGATATTTTTCTGTTTCAGTATTCTTCCACTTCAATATTTACTTTTCGACATTTTTTCTTTCAGCATTTTTCCCTTTCGACATTTTTCCTTTTCGATATTTTTCCCCTTCGATATTTTTCCTTTCGACATTTTTCCCCCATTTTTTTCGACATTTTTCTCTTTCGACATTTTTCCTTTCGACATTTTTCCAGCACACCATCGAAAACAATTATTTCGACCAATAACTAAACAAGGTGTATCAACATTATTTAAAATAATGGCTAAAAAAGCTAAAACATGTGAACATATATCAGAAATAACAAATTATGAACGATTGGAATTTCTTGATGAGAAAAAAAAGAAAAAGATTTATTTTTTTTTGTTTATAAATTTTCTTAAAATATATTTAGATGAAGCTTTATTAGAATTTTTTGTATCAATACATTTATTTTTTTTATTTCCACAATTTGATGAAGGTCGTTTATCAACATTTCGTGTTGGATTAATTCAAAATCATTTTTTTACATCATTAGCACGAAATCTTTGCTTACAACATTTTATTATTTATAATCATGGACCAGATTTATGTTCACATTCTGCACTTAATTATGCGTTAGCAAATTCATTTGAAGCATTAGTGGATGCAATTTATCTCGATGGTGGATTGATGAAAAAAAGTTTATTTACGAAAAAAAAACAAATGATTTTTGCTTTGTCTTTTAGGCTATTGTTGATAAAATTTTATCGAAAATTCTTTTTTATCAAGATAAACAGTTAACGAATTTATGGAATAATTTACAAGAATATCCATTAAAAGTTCAATATCCAAATAGTGATCGTCATTTAATTGAACAAGTACTTTTATTAAAACAATTAACTAAATTTGAACAAGATATTGGAGTAGAATTTCGACATATTCGAATGTTAGCATAAGCTTTTTGTACACGATCAATACCACAAAATGATTTAACTATTGAAGAAAATGAAAGATTAGAATTTCTTGGTAGGATAGAACAAATTTTATATGAAATTTTCAATATTGGAAAAATATTTATTTATAATTTTAAAATTTAATAATCATGTTACCTGGAGATGCGTAGTATCAGTGTAAATACTGAACATTGAGTCGTCATCAACATAAGGTCCACTAGGACACTGATGTCAATACACACTAACTACATTACTTTGGCGACATTTGGTGGTCAGTATAGTGAAACTACACATCCCTAGTGTTACCATCTGTATCTCTCTATCTTAATAGAATAGAAAATTTTATGAACTATTATAGATAAATACATAAGAAATGATATTGTAAAGTAATGAATAAGAAGTGTGTTCAGATGAATCTGTCTTGGACTACAATTTTATATAGACTGACTTTTTTCGAGATATTTTCATTCTGTGTTTTGAGACATATTCGTCATCATTATACCTATACAAGTGAAAACCTATAATTAAACTATGTTGACTTTTTTAATCCATTGAGTGTATAGCTATTATTCAATACATACAGTGTTGATCTCAATATCTTCCTGATAAAACGTAACTTTGATCATTTATTGAAATTCTATTTAGGACATATCAAAGGTAGTGATGAAGGCACTTCAATACTGTGTAGAGAGGTCGTAGAAACTTTCTTTCTATATGTGATCATAGTACATAATATGAGTTGAAGAATGATGGAATATCGGGGAAATATATACAGCACTTTGATATGCCCTCAGTATTTGAACTTTCAATCTATATATTTGTACACATCTTACTAATTACAATATGAAGCAAATCGAAATTTTCAATTTGATGTACATATGATTGCTTTAAATCTATAATAAATCTAACATTGTATCTAATTTAGGTGATACTGTACTGAATTTTGTTGTAAGTGATTATTTATATCGTTATTTTTTCGAACATCATGAAGGACATTTATCATTACTTCGTTCATGTACTGTTTCTAATCCAATACAAGTTATAATCTATGACAAATTAGGTATGCAAGTATATGTAGATTATGTTCGTGAACAACTTCGTATAACAACATCAAAATTAATTGAAAAATCTTTAAAAGCTAAAGCAGATGTATTTGAAGCATTGATAGCTGCTTTATTTATTGATCAAGATTTAGAATCAATTTATGCATTTTATCGTACAACTATATTTCCACGTTTACAAGATTTTATATTAACACAGCATGGAAATGATCCGAAATCAAATTTATAACATTGTTGTTTAGCATTACGTGATCCAAATGATCGTAATCCACCATTACCTGAATATCGAGTTTTAAAATCTGTTGGATCATCAAATAATGTTCAATATGAAGTTGGTCTTTTTTTCGTAAGCAACGTTTATCTGTTAGTGTTGGACGATCAATTCATGATGCTGAAATGGCTGCTGCAAAAAATGCATCAGAACAACATGCACAAATGTTTCCATTATTAAATTATCAAAAATCAGTTTTAGTTTCATCAAACCATCATCGTAATAATTCGAAATGTAGATTAACAACAACAGGTAATAAAAATGAGAATAATCGACAACAACCATTTTCATTAAGAAATGTTAAAACGAGAGGTAATGTTTCATTAATGATTATTACATCGGCAAAAGTCACAAGTTAGATAAAATTATTTGGTGCTTTTTTTTCTCCAATCTTTTTTTTGTTTGCTTGTTTCTTGTTCTTCGGCAGTGTTCTGTGTATTACAATCTGTTTTTGTGTACTCAAAAAGTGAGTACACTCTAGAATCGGTCAGTGTGTCCGTCCGTCCGGCCAGCCGTTTACACGATAACTTTTGAAAGGAGAGTTCGATCGCGATGAAATTTTCTACACAGTTTAGTCTCAACAATATCTCGGTCGAGAGAAGAAGATGAGAAGAATTGGCCGAGCCGTTCCTGAGTTATTGCCAAAAAGACTCATTTTTTCCCTGTGGCTTCCTATAGGAAAATCGACCCATCCCCGCTTTCGTAAAACACTTTCCCTATCATAGTCAAAGAAAACCCCAACTATTATACACCATTCGATAGAGAATTTCAAGAGCTACAAAATGGTATATAAAACATAAAGAAACAAGAAGGCTAGCTCACCTATTGCAAAGATAAACAAACGGAAATCGGTTCTGTTTTTGTCTGTCCTCTAATCGATCCACAATTAGAGCTCTATCTTCCGATCACAGACATAATACTTCGAGATTTTCTGGGATGGAGAACTCGAACCTGTAATCCACTTGACTCGAAGTCCCATTGGTTGAGCACTGATCAATAGAAATCAAGTTATAGGAAAAACGAGTTTTTTAGGATAACTCAAGGCGAAGAGTCCAAATGTGAGCTGTATTCACTCCGAAATCCTATTGGTTGATCAGTAGCCAATAGAATTCAAGTGTTTATAGAAAGGATTTGCCAGGCTAATTTTTATATCCACACATTGTAGGATGACCGATTTGTCTCATTCACTTTTTGACGTACACATAACTCTCAGATTTAAATCCGAGATTTCCACATTTATTTTTGAATATTATTAAAAAAGAAGCAAAGTCTGTAAGAAAGAGAAATATCGACATTCTTTTTTCAAACCTTAACTATATTCATATTTATTTCTCTGACGTGAGATAAATGAACTGTATAATAAAGAAAACAAACGATAAATATTTATAGGAATGCTTATAGTTCTTGTAAAAGTTTATTGGTAAATGGATTTATATTTGCTATAACATATGTTGAATGTGAACTATTTTTGATGTTGGATTGACATATATGTTAGCGTCCAATCTTAGATCGGCCTAGACCAATCTAGGATCTCATTTTGGATGAACATTGATTCAGGCCATTCTTAAACTGATCAGTTACAATACATGATCTAAGATCCACCTATGTCTATGGTGGATTGAAAGATTAGTACAGCCAATTTCGAATTAGGAACTAACTATATTGCATTCTATGTGTAGGTGTTGATTCAGCCTAAAGAATGTATTGAATAAAAACTGGAATAGAAAAATGTGAATGTCATTGAATCGCCGTTTATGCCAAAACAGGCTTCAAAAAAAGTAAAAAAGTAAATTTATATCAAGCTCTAAAGGACAGATTCTTGAACACTCGTTTGATTTTAACGATCTTTTGAACATGATTTTGATCATAGTTGAATTGAATTTAATGCATTTTTATTGATTCAAAAACATGTCAACTCGATAAACGTATAGACACAGATAGTAGCAAAAAGCTCTTGATGATATGCAATCATATACAAAGAAAGGAAGAAAAGAGACATGAATGGAAGAAAAAACTTATAATAACAATAATAAAAATTCATTTGTGCGTGTTTTTGTTTTGCTGACTCGTTTATTGTTAATGTACTTTTTTGTTGATCTTTCTTGTTTGTCATAGTTGTATTATCACAAGAAATCCAAAAGAATCATTCAATCAACATTATGGCCAATGGTGTTTTTTTTCGCAGAACAAAATTCTGTATTTGCATAGAAACATTAGGAGGTATGCACTACAATGATGGTGTTTAGTTCTTATTATTTTTCATTGAATAAACAAGAATTTGTGCCTCAATATCACGGTCGATTTTTGTTAAAAGAAATACAAACGATACTTTTTATTATTTTTGAAGTGTAGGTAAAAATATATGACTCTCTTTCGCATGCATACGAAACAGAAATCATTGATAGATGAGATTTATAGTCAAAGTTTGCTCTGGTAATATTTATCGTTTTCAATTAAAACATATCTCTTAATATATTGTGATGCACATGAAAATTGTGCGAATCTCGAGTATGAACAAATAAAATTGAATATTACTTGTTCATGAATCGGACCAGTCAAAGGAAGAGCGAGAATTAGCATATGAAAAGAAAAAACTTTCTAATGGATATAATATAAATTAAAGTTCCCTCTAGCAAGATTGTCAATGATAATAAATTCATTCTGCTAATCTCACTCACACCTCCCCACGATGAAATTGGTCTCATTGGAAAAAAAACATGGATTTAGAGTCCCTGTCTCAATCGAGTTCGAATGTAAATGAAACTTCCCTATTCACATATGACTCCAACATTCAAAAGTAAAAAATAAATTCTTTCTCATTCGTAATTTTTACTCAAGTAAGCATTATCCTACCGAAATAACAAAGATGGCAATGGCTAATCTTGTCCTGCATACTGATTCGGATTCGAATTACAACTGTTTAGTATTTTTTTTCTTCTTGTTTCGTTCGCATCATCAGGATGTTCACTACAAATATAGTGAAAAAAGACGTTCTGAAATAATTAAAGAAAAAGTAAACAATGAACGAGACAAAGTATTCAACGCAATGACACTTGAGTGATTGTATATTTGAAAAACAAATGAATGTTGGAAAGAATAGCCATAAAATAAATGACTTTGTCGGATTTTTTTTCTCTTTCGTTTGTTGTTTAGAATCCTATTTTCAGTTGAAACTAGATGAAGTTTGTCGTTGAGTGTCAATGAAAAAAAAAACTACAACTACCTTTGACGTTGTAGAAAAATATAGAAAAAAAAAAGAAGGCATCAACTGTATAAATAGAAAAGGTAATGTCTGCCTAAGCAACAAACAACTAATAAACATTCTGAACTACCGATCAAGCTACAATTGGTACTCAATATGGGTGGAGAAAAGTTGAAATAAAAAGATTCTAAATCAACAATGGATGTTGTCACATGTACAACGACCTTGTCAAATACTATCCAACCAAGACGACATATGACTCAGAATTATTTGATCATCTGAATCGATGGTAATACTGATGAAACAAATAACAATTGTCAAAATACACTAACACAATTGCGCAGTGTCATCAACGAAGTGACACTCTGTACCGAACTGGAGCATGTATCAAGTGCCTCAACGATATAAATGACGAGAAAGCTTTTGTCATCTCTTCCGATGCTTTAGGTCAGCATCTCGTACCGTAGATTCATGGAATGCCACAATTAGATTCTATTTACATCTTTTGTGATAACAAAGCGCGACATAAACAATGGACAAAGGAATGGGCAAAGATTCAAGGTGTCTTCACCTCAAGACACCATTCATAAAAGACGTTTGGTAATGTAACAGAGAATTCAAGAGACCTGAATCCGACTTATAGTAACTTGTGTCAAAGTTTTTGTAAAAAATAGCCACTGTTAACTATTTTTGAAATTACTGTATTGAGTTACGCAAGTATGAATAAGTGAACCTTAATAACTGACTACTAACTTATAAATAAATAAGTCAATATGGTAATTTATATACAATGCTTACTCTCTCTGTAATACTCTCTAGTACATTCACGATACAAGCATTTCAGAGTACGGACCACTTACTTATGTTCACTATTTCTATCATTACGTTTCAATATTGTCTTCTTCTCGGTACTTTAATTAGAGTACTACTTAAGAATTGAATTTACTTTCTCTTAGTTGTAGACAGAGCACAAACTTTATAGTTATGTTTCTTATTTTTTACAATTTGATCAGATACGAAAGCGGGTATTCACACAACTTGACTTATTTCTCTTATATGGAATGATCAATAATTCGATTCTGATTGCCAGAGGTTACGAATGTTTGCTCACTCAAGTTGGTGTCAGCCGTCAATCGATATAGGGTTCAGAGATAGGATCAGTTCGTGTTTTTTTTAAACCGAACCAAACTTAGTTGATAGCTCTCAAAATTTACTATCGCTTCGTAAAGACATTAGCCGTAAACTGCCTTATTGAGAGAAATTTTTTCATACATACTGACATTACGAAAGAATTAGATCGCAGTAGCTATATGTACCCTACTTTTGAGATAGTTAAAAACAATTTCAAGAATTTGAGTCGAGTGCGTGAGATCTTTGTCACACTTGCAATTTATTTTTGTATGTATCTCTATATATCAATCTTTACAACGACTAAAAAAACTATATATAGTATGGAAAAAAGTGGAAAATATATAGAGCACCTTAAGGGCAAAGAAGAACAGAAGGAAAGGAAAAACTCATCTTATATATGATAATAAAGAAAACTCCAACACATAGATCTAGTCATAGACAGAACGAGAACAAGAGAAGCGAACCATGGAAGGAAAAAAGCATATGACTGCATCCAAATAGATGCAGAGCATAACCGAGTTGACTCTATACAGAACTTTTCGCTTTGAAAATGAGTATTTTTTTCAAACCAAATTTTTCTCTTTACACAATATGCAATGATTAATAGATCCTCAGTCGCTTAACTAAGATTTTGTATTTTTTTGCAGATTTTTATTGATTTATGTAAGTTAGCGGTCATCAAGTTCGACGCTATACATAGAGTATTTTTCAATAGAAAGAATTCTCTATCCTGTTTTCTTTGAAATTCCAATGCTTTTCCTCCTACGATTTCATAGAAATAGGTATAATATGTTAAAATCTCTGGATCTCTTTGAATACAGTATGGAAGATTATTCTTTCCAGTTACATATTATCTATGAATGATTTATTGTCACAGTATCGAAAATGAAAACTGCTTCTAAACGAACTAGCCTCACATGTATTTTCAAAAATGCAAATTGCTCGATTATCTGTAGCAAGAGACAGTTGACAAACAAATCTGAGAGAAATACGATTTTCTCTGTTTTGACAGTTCCTAGATATATTTATTCTCATCATATATCTTCTCCGATTCTGAAATACCGATCACAGAACAAAAAAAAAATATGAGAACACATTGTTACATAACTCATATTTCACTAACATTCATATAAGAAATTACAATCCACCTCGTCATTTTACCTCACCACAGTTGAGACAATGTCAACTGCCCAAGTTTTATGCAAATCAGAAGGTTTTCTTTAAAGAGCACAGTGAACATTTTTATACAGCAATACATTCTGTACCAAGTCAATACAAAGTTAGTTTTCAAAACTGTTTTTAGAGATATTGCTAGTTGATAAGTTATTATAATGTTGTTAATCACGTTACATTTAATGTAATAATTTGAAATATGAACTGAGAACATCTTTCAAAAAATTTATATTAAAACAAAAACTCAAACACTAGAAGAAATGTGTACGGAGGATATCACTAAACTTATTGAATACTAATTTTGTCCATTCTTGTGATATAACATTAATAGCATGTATAGAATCGCAATCTCATTTCCCTCAAACCGAACCCGAAAAGTTTCGAGCTAAACCGAACCGATCCCATGACTGATAGGGATGCAGTCATTATCAATGCATGAAGTTTGCATTTGTCATTTTGATATAATTAACTTATTGCCGAGCAAAAATAAGTTTTTTCACGTAACCGCGTCTTTTTATTAAAAACAAACTTGTTACAAAATTTTTGTTCGAACTTCTTCGCCTTTTCCTAACATTTTCTTCACATCATTGATCAATACATTGGCCTCTATAGTATAATATTCAAATAAAATACTAATAAGTATCATATGCAACTACTTGAGTAATTTAGAATAGTTTGCAAGAGTACTTTGAAACACCAGAATAAGTGATAGAATCAACTTTTCCAAAACTTTATATCAAAATAAACTATCATGTACGGCACGGATCCACTAACTTTTTTTTTCACATAGGACTCTAGAGATTCATTGTTAAAACATAAATGTTTCCTTGCAAGGTATTAATAGTTGATTCATGATTCTGCTGATGATTGTATGCTTTTGTTTTATTCGATGCATTGCATACACATTCCTTGTGATTTGAAATCGATGTGTTACACTGACAGCGCTTTCAACATTGAAGCTTGCTTTTCTTCTCTGATCGAAAAAATGAATCTATCAGAAATATTTCAGTATTCCTTACACCAAAATGTTAATGAATATGAAAAGATGACTAAATAATTTGTAGATTAGGGGTATGGGCGTGGGATGTGGGTGTGAGTATGGGTCTCTGTTTTCATCGTGCCTACACCCACACCCAACCACACTCTCTGACATGTCATGGTAAGTTCCTATTTCCAGGAAATTCAAATAAAATGATGACGAGAAAACTTTCATGGAAATTTAACTCAATACTCTAACACATAGCCATAGAAAATTCATTTTAGTATGAAACCATAAGGAAACCATCTCTATATATTTGGGCTTGGGTTGGGTTGGGTTGGGTCAGGAAATTCATTTTCAAAAAAATGAATTTCTTGACCCAACCTAACCCAACATAGTATATATACATATTATTTTCCATTTTAAAATGCATTTTCTTGATCCAACCACATCAGGTCCCAAAAGAGATAAATATCGAGTGCGCATATGTTTTATTTGAAAGTGAATTTCCTGGCATGATGAAGACTGAGTGAAGATTCTTTAAGTTGTATTGTTCATTACATACTTAGATGAAAAATTTTGAATTTCCTAGAAATTGGAGTTCATTATGCCCTCCCTCTACTAGCCTACATATGTCCCGTTCTTAGGTCAAAAATTACTGTGAAACTTGCCGTCACCTTTAAAGTAAGAAAAAAAATTGTTAAATTAATATTGAAAGATAAAAGTAAATTAGAGCGAGATTTGATCACATATTTTAAATAAAATATTATTTCAAAATTCTGAACACAGCTATAGTGTTTTTTTCTCCGAAAAAAATTAACATATCCTTTATTTAGTTTTTTTAAATGAATATGTCGATAAAATTCGACAGGCTTATTTTTTAATGTTTAATGAATATTTGAGAAGCAAAAAAATATGACAAAATGAACTATAATGCAATTTAATCATGCCCCAACCCTATTGGCAATCATAACAATATGTTTCTTAATAAAATAAGTATTGTATTAAATCAAATAACGAAATATACTCTTTCTGTTGGATTCATATTTTAAAAAATGAATTTAAACTAAATGAAAAGAATGATAATGAAACAATACCTTCGATAAAAAGTTTATTTTTCTTGTAGAAATTCTTAATTGATTGAAATGTCGATTATCTTAAATGAATGAATAACATCGATCTGTTCTAAAATATTAGTTTCACATATCGCCTACAAAAAAGGACATTTTGTTCAATTTTCAATCTTTTTTATTATAGAATTGACCAAATTGAATATGTTACAACTTGTCTATATACAAAAAAAATCTACAACAACAAAATGTCTTAGCACAATTGATGTAGTATTAAAGCCATAATTGAATTTCTTCCGTAGAACATCGTAATCGATAAGGTCGGTTAAGTAGTCATTCATGTAGTTGTCATCGAATTAGATGTGGAAAACAAAGTGTTTCACATAATCTCGAATGGATAAAATTCATATGAAACGAAACAAGTTGTTGTAAATAATCAACAAGGAAATGAGTGAGATTAATAATACGTTTTGTAGATTCATTTTTATAATCAGCAAGATACGATGGACTCACACTACTAAAACTCCATGATTCATAGATAGTAAACGAAAGTTCTTTTAAATTAGGAAATCGAGCAATCGATGAGAAGCTACCACGAACACGAACAATTACCACGAAGGAAAAAAAATTCCCATTGGTCGACACATCAGCCAATCGCTGATGGTCTACATAAAAACTCCACTATGGAGGACGAAACCATGGACATGGCTTCCACCTAACAACCACTCGATGAGCATAAAACACTAACACACGAAACTTTTTCATCCAAACGAAAACTTCAAAGTAACACACAAAAAAAATCATTACATGCACAACTGAGTAATTTATAAGAGTACACTACTCTTATATAGAGAATGAATTTCCAAACGTATTCCGATCAGAAAAAAAGAGGTGAATCACATCTCAATATACTGACTTTAGACATTCTTCCCCATTTTTCTCTGCTAAGATTCAATTGCAAAAACACAAAAAATACATCACTCGATGCAGAGTTTAATGCTCTACAAGAACATATAACTCTTATATAGAGAATCTATTTTTGAAGTGCGTTCCAAAAAAAAAAAGATCATCGGAACAACGACACTCATTTCAGATACTCGGAAAAGTCTTTGTCCACTCATCATCCATTGCAAAAATCCAACAAATCCAACATTAGATAGAGAATTGAATTCTCTATCAGATGGTATATTTCAAATAGAGAGACTCGATTTCGAAATGGGCTTAGAAAACGAAAAACACGACCCAACTGATATGATTCATCAGCGAGTTCAGATATTGGAACCCGATGTTGGGAACTCACCATCCATCGCAAAACAACAACAAATACACCATTAGATAGAGAATTGAATTCTCTGTCTAATGGTGTATTTGGTGTTGTTTTGCAATGGATATTTACGGAGCTATGAGTCAATTTATTTTGAGAACTTAGCTCATGCATGTCATATATGATCTTTTTTTCATTATATGACTATTTCAAAAATCGAATTTGGAACTGCTGTAGATATCATTAGAATCATCTTTTGATTGTCTATCTTTTGATATCATTTTCATATTTTTGCAATGGATATTTAGGAAGCTATGAGTCAATTCGTTTTGAGAACTTCGCTCATACATGTCATATATGATCTTTGTTTTCATTATATAACTATTTCAAAAATCGAATTTGGAACTTCCCTATCTATCATTGGAATCATCTTTTGATTCTCTATCTTGTAATATAATTTTCATCTTTTTGCAATGGATATTTACAGAGCTATGAGTTAATTTATTTTGAGAAGTTCGCTCATGCATGTCATATATGATCTTTTTTTTCATTATATGACTATTTCAAAAATCGAATTTGGAACTTCTCTATCTATTATTAGAATCGTCTTTTGATTCTCTATCTAGTGATATAATTTTTATCTTTTTGCAATGGATATTTACGAAGCTATGAGTTCATTTATTTTGAGAAGATCACTCATGTGTGTCATATATGATTTTTTTTTTGATGATTAGTTGGTTGAAGATATATAGGCGATCCTGTTTGATGGGATTATTAATTTTTAAGGTGCTGTAGGAAAATGTATATGGTTGCTATGGAAGGTTTTGATGGTATTTTATGGACTACGAGTGGTAAAATATGCTCGAGCGCTGATTGGTCGGTTAGGGGATCGATTCTGATTGGTGTTCGTGCTAGCTTCACATCGATCAATAAATATATGAATTGTTTCTATTTAAACAAAAACGACATATATTATTAGTTTACACACTTAATCAGTTCCATCAGTCTTAACATCCTTTTACTACATACTTTCTTCATCAGATAATCAATTTTATTTTCTCAAAAAAATGTAAAGAATTAACTATTTAATATTCAATTCATTCAATGAACAAACAAACAAACAGATACACACAACAATGATGCATACAAAAAAAATATTATTCAATCATAATTTAAAGAGCAGATTAAAAAATACAAGAGCAATTCATTCTTATAAATAAAAAAGAAAAATGAAATTTAATATGTAAAATCTGACATGAACAGAATAATATTTCAATCATATTCAGATAATAATACAAGTAGTTGATTTTACTGATGGATTATATGGATTATCTTCATAATTATCAGGCATTATTGAACTCACATCAGATGAAGTTTCGTTTATTATTTGTGTACTAACACCACTCTTTATATCTAATGATACTGAACCTAAAAACAAAAGAAAAATTATTTTGAATTCTTTAATATAAACAAAAAAAAAAAAACATGCAAAAGTTCTACGAAAGGATACAACGATAGGGAACAAAAAAACGATAGTGCGAATTTACTTACAATAAATAGAATTTAATCTAAAGAATTTAAAATCATTAGACTAATGTTTTTTTTTGTTTTGTTTAAAAAAAACAAAATCAAATCTTACTTTTTAGTAATTGTTGTTCTTCTTCTTCTTCAATTTGTTGTCGAGCATCAGCAATAATTCCTTTAATTTGTTCAGATGTAAAATCTTCTGTTAATATTCGTGTAGCAGAAAAATCCATTTGTATAAGATTAACTTAAAAACAATCAAAATAGTTTCTATCTGATATTACAAAAACAAAAAAAAAAAAGAAAAATTTAATTAAATACTATTTGGTGGAGCTATAACAACTGGATAAAAACCACCTATTGGTTGATAAAGTACTCGAACATAACCAACAGTACGATTAACTGTTAAATAACATATTATTAATTGTTCTTTATTATTTTCTATTAAACTATCTTCTTCTTGTGGAAATAAAATACCCCAACCAATTTTATCTCCTTGCTTTAAATATCTTGCAGCTTAAAAACAAAGAGAAAGAAAAAAAAAACACCGTAAATATTTAGTTTTATCTATTAGAATTATATGATTTGTTTACCATCGCCTGTTGGCCAAAAACGTAAATAATCTTGTCGAAATTGAGATGTTGGTGATGGATCAATTGGTGCAGCCGTACATAATGCAATTGCTATTCAAGAGACAAAAACAAAAAAAAATTAAACATGATATTTATAGATAAACATACCAGGTGGTGGTTCACTATCACTAAATTTTTCCAAAAGAACAATTTCAAAATGATGATATTCTAAAAAGATACATATGTTATTGGTCATATATGCAAATCAAAAAGAAAAAAAATACTGTTAACACAATTTCTGCGGAATTAAAATATATATTCTTGAATGTTGCCTTCCAATCGCCGGAAAAACGAACGAAAGTTACTAAACTTTTCAATCCGTGCTCAATAAATTCTTTTTTTTTTTATTTGAGAGATATTGCCATTTTCTGATCTATAGTATCTTTTGAAGATCGGCTATATTTATTGGATACATTTTGAGAATTAAAATATAGCTTTGAAGTTATAAAAAGGAATCACAAAGGTGAGATATTTTCTCTATGAAAGCAGTAGATTCTTTTTCATTCGATAAAAATTTTCCAGTAGGCTAGTTTTTATGGAAAAACCTACAGAATTGCCCCCTGTTACTTAGGTATGGTATATACAATCGAGCTTAAATTTTGTCTACATATACTAGATAGTGTTTTAGAAATCATGGGTTTACTTTGAGAGCTCTTCATAGTTTGAGGATCTTTTTATTTGAATGAAAGGTAATAGAAAGAAACAAAAACGAGTAAGTGCTACACAAAGTGTTTCAAGTATGTGCAAGAAAAGTTTTTAGCTCAAATGAATCTACTACCTCATATTTTTCTTGAAAGAAGTATCCAAGAATATTTTTCAAAAGTAGTAAAAAACGAGAACAGATTTCTTGAGTTCAGACAAAAGATTAGAGTCAACTAGCATGAAAACAATTATTGCTTGTCAATCATGAAATCTGTCAGGACTTTAAAAGATTAGTTCTAGTATATTTTCATCTTGTTAATTAAACTAGAGATACATTTTCTTTTTTGTATTCAAATCTAAACAAATAAGTTACTATTATATTCGATTCGAGATTGATTAAATTCATTAGAAAATATTTCTATATTTACTTTTATTTAAACTAATAGGAGCTTGAATACATAATGAATGATCAAGATGTTGTGGTAAAATAAACATATTTTCTTTTAAATCAATATTTGTTCCATCTGGTACACACCAATCTTCTGAATTTGTCTACAAAAAATATTTAATTCAATAAACAAAAATAATTAACTAACTATATTATAATATGGTGGTAGAGAAATTCTTGTTTGCCAATAAACTAATAATTCAACAGGATCTCCATTATTTTCAATAAGTATTGTTGGAAAATATTGTGAATAATCATTTAATGTTAAATAACGTGTACCAATTGGTCGAAAATTTTTACTGAATAATACAACACTCATTTCTTTATCAAATACTACAATTTCAACACCCATTGTATCACCTTTATTACATTTTTGTCCATGCATATTTCCAGTATCTTTACGATTTGAATATAATTTACCTGTATAAGAATTATAACCAACTGTATTATGAATAATACCAGGTGCTACATTAAATTCATGTTTAGATGAAGCAATACCAATTGTTATTTGACATTGTTTACCTTAAACAAAAAAGTAATATTATTTAATTAAATTTTATTTTAATAAAATTTAATTATTTACTAATATTTTCTAATTCAACAAAAAAGAAACGTCGTTCATAAGTTAATGGTTGACAAAATTGTATATAATGAATACTATTTTCAGTTTTTGGAATTGAAACACGACATAAATGATTATCAATATTAAGTAAAACTTGTTCACTTTTTCGAAATGATTGTTCTGATAAAACTGAAAAATAGAATTATAAATTTTTTTTTTATTTATGTATCTAGAAAATTCTTACATCGTTCATCTTTATCTTTTCGAAAAATTTCCATAGCTGGTCTTAACATTTGTGTATAAAATCCTTGTAATTTATCAAGTTCCTCTATTGTTAATATATCATGTCTTTCAATTGATACCCTTGTTGCTAAAAAAAAATATCAAAAAACATAAAATTAAGTTTAACTAAGTCTTTTTTTTTTACCATATGATTGAAGTAATACAATTGGAACAAAACCACCTTCAGGTTGTAAAACAAAAAGAGCATCAACTATTAATTTATTAAACATAACAAATACAAGACATAATTGTTCAGCTTTATCATCATGACAATTTTCATCATAAAAAATACCCCAACCAATCGAATTTCCAATTTTCACTAAGAAAATAAAGTTTTTGTAGAATGATATCATCGGAAAGATTTAAATGTTTAAAGACAATACAAATTGAACAATTTTTACAAATTCAAAAAGATTATCGTTTTCTTATATTGATTCTTCATTGAGTAAGATTTTCAGATAATTAAACTATGACTTCTATTCGAACTACAACCAATTGCATTGAAGAAGTTCACGGTATATGATGGTAGAAGAGCAGAAAATAAACTTGAAAGTTTCAATTTTATCTTTTAGATTAACCTTCGTATTAGTAATAATCTATTGATAAAATGATAGTTTCACTATTCTGTTTTTTTTTGTTTCATAAGCTCTTTCACTTGTTTATCTGGCTCTATGATCTATATTTTGAAAACTATTCTTCAAAAATCTACTTTGACAAGTTTTAAATTTTATATTTCAAGTTGTTTAACATGTTGACTACACTATATGAAATGTCTTAGAGAAAATTTAAAAAACTATATATATATATACTTCTCGTTTTAGAAAACCATGTATAATAATCTTTCATTAATGAACATGTTGGTGTTGGTTTTAAAGGCTAAAAATAAATAATTCATTTTTTTTTTGTAATTAATTTTATCAAAATCTTACTGAACAAGTAGCTAATCCAACACTAGCACCTTTTCCATCAATTGGTGAAAGTTCTTCTTGTATAACAATAAAATAACGAAATGATTTACTTAATGGTATAGGTGATTGAATTGGTAGATCTTCTATTTTAGCACGATTTTCAAAAAAACCTGTATTTGAATTATAACTAATTAATGGTCCACGAATCCATTGAGATATAGGCATCTAGATAAATATTTAAATTAACTTAAATAATTAAGATAAATTTTATACATCAGTAATAGAAGGTAATTGTTCGACAGAATCTGGCCAAAGAATTGAAATAATAGCAGATCCACCAGAAAATGTTATTGTTGGAAAATATCGATTTTTATTGCTTTCAAAATGATATCTAAAACAAAAAATAACATCAATAATAAATACTTTTTGATATCTTTATTTCTTATAAAACAAACCTTGTAGCTATTGGAAAATTATCATAAAAAATAAGTACAGTTGAAAGATGTTCACCAAAATAAGTTACATACATTGCCACCGTATTACCTTTACCATATTTAAGTCCAAGTGTATTTGCATAAATTTTCCATGATGAATATATTCGTCCTGTATTATTATGATAACCAAGAGAATTATTGTATTGACCTAAATTTAATTTCGAAAAAAAAAAAGATTTTATTAATAATAAATAATAATATTAACCTGCATGTTTATCAATATCTAATGATGCAATACCAACAGATATTATTGCATTTGGATCTAAAGTGTTCGTTTTTTTTTTAATCATATTTTTCAATTCTAATCTATTATCTTCTTACCACACTTATGAACTTCAACAACAAAGCAAGGTGTATTAGGTGTAAGTAGTTCCTGCTTTTGAATAATAGCAATATCATCAAAATTTGTTTCATTTTTACCATAAGTTATATCAACTTTTCTTCCTTTACTTTTTCCAGTTGTTGATACTTTTTTTTTAATTCTTATATCACCAATAATACGATAATGTGTATTTGTTGTCATTGCTTATAATATTTCTGTAAAAAATAAGTACGAAAAAAAGCCAAATATTCTTTCAACCGTTCTATACATCAATAACATTTTTCTCAAAAACAAACATACAAATACTTTTCTTTTTTAAACTATTGAATTGATTGGTTAAATAAAAAAAAAAAACGAAAGTATTTTATCTTACATATGAAATTGAATAAACATTCTCATTCTCAAGTAGAAGCATACACAAGTGTATTAAAAACAAAATCTATGCTTCTATACAGATAGAATGAAAGAAATTTCAGTGCTTCAAAAGCAAAAAAATAGAATCAAAGCAATCAATAACTAATGTCTAGATAGATGAAATCGAATACATTGGTTTTTTTTTGATTTTTAATAAAATAAAAAGAAAAAAATTCAAAACGAAGATGACACCTGTGATTCATTATATCGAGATTTATTGGTTACGATAACAGATTAAATATATTAAAATAGTAAGAGATGTCGTACAAAATTGAATGCATTCATTCATATCTTAATATTTAACTTTAGCTTTGTTCAAAAACATTGTTTAATAGAATTTAAAAAGAAAGAAGACTCATCAGATTATTATGACTTTTGTGAAACAGAACATCTACTTCTGTTGCAATCGATTAACATCATCAATCTTGTTTAGAATAAATGCCATTTTGATATTTTCAAAATTTTATTTATATTCACATTAAGACAACAAAAAACAAAAAAAAATTTCATTTTATGTATCGATCATTTCGTATCGATGTTAACTTAACAACAACAATAATGTTATTTATTGTTGTTTCAATAGAAAAAAAAACTTGGTTTATCCATTGCCGTTGATTTACAATAAATTTTGCGATTACTTCTTGTGATATTATCCAGCCTAGAAGAGAAAAACAAAGAAAGAAAAATTTTTTTTTTGAATAGTAAATTAACATATTCGAATACTAATCTATATATTAAACTGATTCACATGAGAATAGATTTACAATATTTATATATATCGGAAACATAGTGCAGAATATTTTGTTTTCTCACAAAGAATACATTTCAAATCGATTATTTCCTGTGTCTTTTCGTTCTAAATTCTTTGTCGATGAGATCAATTCTTGATTGTGTTAACATTCAAAAAATTCAACAGATTTACAAAGTCAAAAAAAAACTCGTATTAATAATATCCGTTCATAAGTTTATTTTAATGTCCGTAATAAGGAGAAAAGTATTAATTCTTAAAAAAAAACATTCTTTTATAGATGAGATAAAATGACATGATATCAATAGATATGAGCTATAATAAAATGATTTCAATTTTTTTCATGGAAATACTAAACAAATAGTCAATAAGATCAATATTGAATATTATTGACTGTTCACGATCAGGCGTTTATATGAATATTATCAACAAATAATTCGAGAGTAGACAGCATTTGTGTAAAATAGTATGCTAGTCATAACCACATTACTTGCGATCAGCATAATCGATATGTAAACTAATTCCTGTGTCAATATGGTTATTGACGAGCATCGACTAATATATACAAATATGACGAATGACCCAGAATAAATGCTGATGTCACGGTTTCATTAATGTTTTGTGAATTTTATGGAAATAGAAACAAAAAAAACCTTCTAGAAGTGACATTACAAAAAGAAAAATCAACAACTTCTAAAGTATTTTTTCCTGACTGAATTTTCGTTTTTTTTTTTATCTACAAGCTAAGCATTGCTTAAACGCTTCAAATTAATAAAAGTGGTACATTTTTGGATTTCTTCTGTACTGATGCATGTAGCACAACATCTTAAATAATCATATTCACAGAGTAATGGCATAGTTGGATTTTCCATGGAAATTTAGTCAATATGAAGTGTTATTCGTTTAGAAGTAACATAGGCTTTCATACTGTTGCTCAGCAGTATTGAAATTGATAGAACCTTTATACTGAAAAATCGTAGTTGGCTTAGGAAATGTTGATTCTTTTGAAACAAATAGAAAAGTAAAGTGGGCAAGCACTAGAGTCCATCAGGTTGGTCTTAAATTTGACCGATTTCATGTCTATGCTCGATACCGATACAACGGATTATACTCTTAAAGTAACAGCTAATTAAGATTTGATTATTATAAGATCATCATAAAGATTATCTGAGAACTGTGCTAGTTTTATTAGCAGCGGAACACAAAGCATCAATTAAAAGTATCTCGAATATTAGGGGTAACTTGAAGGCACAGGCTTTCGTTGCAATTGAGAGTGCGGTTCGAGTTCAGGTCCTAAAGTATTGGAGTCGATGGACACTAATAACTGCGGTGTGTATTTAAAAATAAAATTAGAAAAACAAATTATGCTTCTTTTTTTTCCCCCGAAAAGGTTTTCTTTTGAAAATGTTCAATACTTCCAAGAAGAAAAGACTTATGAAATCCTAGAAAATAATTAGATCTTGTATTTTGTTGCTAAAGAGCAATCCGAGAACGCATAGCTGCAAAATGATGGATTTTATAAAGAATTCGAATGTTAATCTTTTGAAAAAAATTCAATTCAAAACTATGAAAACAAAAACAGACAGACCATCATTTAATCGAAGTCATATCTCGGTTTCTCATTCGTTGTATTTCATCATTTCATTAGAAAAAAGTTTTTGTTTTAGTTGTTTCCGAGAGTGTTAAAAAAAATATCGAACATTGTTTATTATTCTATATTATTGAAATATTTTAACACAAAAAAAAAACAAAATTCTCATGTGTATTAACAATATTCATATAGACACAAATACATTTTTATATGTAAAACATCAAGTCTGACCTTGTTTTTGATCTTGTTAATTTATATTAAACAAGAACTGGATCAACTACACGATTTACAAAAGAATGAGTTGAAGATGATGGTGGTGTTTGTGTTATCTGATGATTTGGTGTTAAATATTTCAAACATAATTGACAATAATTTTTATGATAATAATTTGCACCAACAAGTATTAACAGGAACGAACACAAGAATAAAATACCACCAATATACCATGAATTGAATGGATTTTCTACATAAGATTTTCGAATTGATTGTAATGTTGTTATTGAAAATGTATTATTATTATTATTATTATCTAATATGTTTGATAGATTCATATGATAAATAATTGTATATTATTTTGTGTTAGATCGATTGATTTCAATGTAAGGAATTCTTTTTTTTTTTAGTAATTATCCAAAGAATAAAAGCAAAAAAAAATGACAACGAGTCGTTATAAAGTTATTTATCTCTGCCTCTAAACGCTCGTTCTTTATTCTCAGTGATCGACATAGAACTAGTAAAACACTTGAATAGACATGTTGATTTTTCATATTCTATATATATATATATACGAATAAGAATCACTAAAGAGTATTATTAATCTCTATTTCTCATTCTAATATATATTTATTAGATTGACAGTGAATAAATAAAAAAAAATCTAATGAATTTCTAAACATCGAAATTTATTCGAATGATATGTAAATTAATAGTTTTTGTTATATTTATATGTTAATTAATAATCAGTACTTTAAGGTAAAAATTTGCACCTTCTCTCCTCCACAGACTATCACAGATCATGATAGTCGTTGATATACAATGACGTCTCATAATAATATATTAACTATTTTTCTTATTGTATTTTGTAGGGAATTAAGTAAAAAACAAAAAAAGATGGTGGAGACAAATGTCCCAAAATAGAAACACTAAAACAATCTCCTTTGATTGGCACGAGCAGCTACATCGTATTTCATATTTTAATTCCGTAGAGATTGTGCTAACAGCTTTTCTTTTTCTAAATAGAATTGAATTATATTGATTGCAATCTATTTCGATTAAACTAATTTAGAATCGATTTGTAGAAATCAGAAATTATTCGATTGAATAAGTTTATTAATAAGATCATATATGAATTGGTAGAATAATGAGATATCAAAAAGAATATTGATTAGCATAATAACTTTTCATATTCTGAATACGAAATAATAAGCTGTGTTTTCATGTTATTATCGGGCTTTTTTTTTTAAAAATTTTTAGTTTAACTTCCATTGTTGAAACTATAGTTAAGGACTTATTGTTCATTAGTGTACTAGAGAAAGCTTTGATTAATTCCTTTGTTTTGTAAGTTTCGTCGTTTATTTATATCTTTTTATTGTAATATTAATAAATCAAAAATTTGAAAACAAAATAATTAAGATCTATGAGTAAATATAAATACATTTTCGAATTAATTATTATAACGGATGAGACAGAAGAAACCTTTGTGCTTCTCTCGTAGAATCAAAAAGTATTGAACACCAAGTATTTCCACAGTTAATTGTAGTTCGAAATTTTGCCTTTGATGGTAAGATATGTAGAATTTTCCCAGTGTATCGAATGGATTGTTTGCGTTTAATGTTTTTGCTTAAAAAGACATAAAACAACCTCGACCAACGGAATTCGTATTTTTCGTCAGAAATTTGCTCGAAACTTCGATTTATACAAATTATTTCTTTTGTATCAATAGATGTAGAATTTCAAGCCCTACAAAATGCTCTTCACTATAATATCTGAAGTGTTTTTGTAACCTAGTGATAAGATTGAGATCTTTTCCTGGACGGTAATTCGACATTTTTTTGCAAATAGTATTTTAAAATGACAAAGTTTTATTTGAAAATTTTGTATTATATCTCTAAAAATAAATACATGTCTGTTATTTTTCGTACTATGTTTGAATAGTGTATGTAAAATAATTTAAAAAAAGAAAAACGATATTTTATTCCGATAAAATCAGTACTTTTCATGCTAGAAGAAAAGAATAAATACTCATTTTGAAAAGAGTATATCGTTAAGATCGTCACAAAATTCTCTACCTATTATTATGAGAACGAAATTTTATCATTTACTCTGACTCCAGAACAACAGCCTAACAAAAACTGGAAATTTTTTTATTCGCACGAAAAAAAAAAAATTATTTACAGATGTATCGGATTCATTTTTTCAGAGTGAATCTACCATCTTTTAATGTTTTTTTCTCGGATTGATTAAATAATCAATGTATCGTAAAGCTATTCGTTCATATTATTATTTATATATATTGCAGCGATGATTTGCGAAGAGTTTTGATACGATATTATAATCTATTATTCTTCTTCAGAATATGAACAAAACCATTGAATCCCAATTAGATCATTGTACTAATATGTTTCGAAATAACTGGAAAATTTCCAATGATATCACTTTAGATAATACTAAGGAACTATAACAAATGTTATCCTATTGTTTTATTAAATTTTACAAAAATTTTAATTCAAAACACGTGATACAACAGTAATAGGATAAATGTTGATCATTTTACCATTCTTTCTGGTAGATATGTTCAAAGACGAACAAAGAACATCGTTTTCAACCTAACAAGCTCTTTTAAAGGAAGATCAATATTAAGAATTGTTTGATTTCCTATTTTCGTTTTAGAATTTCTCTATCAATAACATACAGAGGTTAGCATTCATTAGTAAATTTGACATTTTAACATGTAATATCCTTCAATTGTACAGTAATATATTGATTCAATAAATTACATAAGATTTCAAAAAGTGTTCTGATAATTCTATTCAAGAATACTAAAGCAAAATTCAGTTTTTATTTTAAGTCAAGAAGTAACATTTGTTCGTTGATTCTTTCACGAATCCTTGTTTTTTTCTTCTATTAATTATCACATTCTTATTCAAAATTTTTTCTCAAGAATTGTTAGAATAGAAACATTTGTTGTTTTGTTTCTCTTTGTTAAAAATAAAATATAATCATGAATATTATAAAGGAAATATTTCTTTTGTTTTGACTATTAAAACAAAAAAAAAAAAAATAATAATAAGAAAAGATTATCATATAAGATAAGTTCATATAAATAACACTTATTAACTTTGTTAAAGTTCAAGAAATACTAGTTGATCAACAAGAAAACAATCAGTCGGTTTTTTAACGAATGCTTTAAGACCTTCGGTTACTTGTGCTTCATTAAAATTAGGATTTGTTTTTTGTGCTGTACGTTGTTGAACTAAATAATCATAAACTTTTTCAAATGTAGATTCACCCAATAATTGAATTGCTTTTCTAAAATGAAAGAATAATTCTATAGTAAAAAAAAAAACAAACTCTGACATACGTTCGTAATGCATTAATTTTTGCATCTTTTGCAAATCGACCATATGCATCTTGAGCTGGATTATCTTTTAATGTAGCATTAGCTAAAAATATTAAATTGTTTGATTTTATAGATTCAATATCAGTTAGATTTACCATCATCCATGGCTACATTTAATGAAGCTTTTTGTCTTGTTGCACTACCAATAGTTCTTGATGGTGATTTAGATTTTTTGTCTTTATTAAAATTAGCTGGATGACGTGGACCCATAGTTTGACTCAATGAATTTATTGTTGAACGTTGTGATGCAGACATTGCTCGTCGAGTTTTTGATGTCATCTCATTCGTGTCTTGTTCACGTGTTGGACTATGATCATTATATTGATTATTATAATGTTTTGAATCATCTTCATCATCAAATCTTTCAGCTATTTGTTTATAAGTTGTTCGCATTGGTGTTATAGGACGATCATCAGTATTACTACCAAATGAAGTACTTCTAGCACCAGTACGATTATTAAGTTTACCTTCATTAGAAAATTGAGCAGGATCTGAAAAAAAAATACAGATGTTTGAGGAGCTATCAAAGTTTCTTCAAATCAATGAATTTATCTATTGATAGCAGATGATATGTTTTGATTATATAAAAAGAAAGCTATAAACTTGAAGAGTGTGTCATTATCCTCTCCTATTCTTTGCTTTAAGCTTTATCTCATTCTTGTTGAACTTCTTTTATTGAATGAGTAACTGGTGAGATAAGTTCTCTCACTTATTGATCGTTTATGATTAAGAACTATCAGCATAATGTAGGCTCTAATGTTTTATGAATATTTGAAAAAGAATTCGGGCCCTTAGCTTATTGCTCCAGTGATACTGCATTTTTCTGGTAGTTTTCCAATCAATACCATGGTCCCCGTCGGGAGGAAGCTGCGGGTCCTTCGAGACTCGGGTTAAGGTCCAAAGTTTAATGTATTGTCATTGTGCATGATTTTAAAAAGCGATATCATTAATTGTTTTGAATGTTCGACACTTAAGTATTGCAAATTCAACACAAACAATTTTTATCTCCTGTTCAACTAGATTTGAAATCGTTGGTTAATTTGTCGAAGATGCATACAACTGATTGAATACTTATTTGAACATTGGAAACTGTCGTCTTTTTTTTTTGACAACTACGAAAATGCTTAGCTAGTGGACTAGTACCAGAAGCTTCACATTGATTGCATAGAACAAATTCTTGTTTGATCTCGTTTTCATAGATATAATTAAGACTATTTCATACAACTGAAGACTTTGGTGTTACTGTTGATTTGACGAGTTTAGTTTATCAATTAACTTTTCAATTTCCTTTTTTTTCTTCTAAACATAATGCTCTTTACAATTATGCAAAAACTTTTAATTCATTAAGCATAAAGTGAAGAACAAGAAATAACTGTCCGTTGACTGTTTTTGCCTGGGAGTAGCCAATAAAGAGATTGCCAGGTTCGAGTCTACGGTAAGGGCACGAACTCTTTTCTCAGAGTATTCATAGTTCACATAGTCCTGATTCAAGTGCGATTTATCAGTTGGAAAACTGCTCTTGTGAGTACCGGAATTAGAAAAAAACTCCAAAAGCTACTGTCAATTGTTAGATCCAATATCGCAGCATTTTTGCTTGATCTTCATTATATGAACTCGACTGTTTTTTTTTTAAAACTCTTCGTTTAATTAACTAATAAAAATTCAATAGTTTATCTTACTGCGAGCACGATTGTTTAAGACTTGTCCATTTTCTTCTACATGATCTGCAAATGGTTGTGATTGTTTCATCTAGAGTAAACAAATTCGAATCAATTAAAAAATAATAATTAGCTTAACCTACAGTTCCTAAATTTTTATTTTCACGCATCATTTGTCGATTTTGAAGAGCTTCAGTTACATTCGATCGAATTGCTTGACTAAAAAAATTAGATATTATATAAAATTTCTATATATTTATGTCATTTATTACTTGAATAGTTGACCATGAGCATCAGCCTCATGTAATTTTCTTTCAGCCGTTGTTTTTTTAGTTGGTTTGACTGTATTTGTAGGTTTTAAAGTTTGTTCTTCTTCTTCTTCTGATACTTCATTAAATTTATTCGATGAAATATTTCCAGTTTCAACATCATCAGCATCATCAGGAACATGATCTTTACTAGATAATGACCAACTTTGACTTTTCATTTGTCCATAATTTATTGGAATTTGTCTAAAATATTTCTTGTATAATTAGATAAATTAAAAAAAAAGTTTATTCTTACATATGAGCATTAATTTCTCTTGAACGAAGATTACCACTGATTGTATTTTCAAGTGGATCATTTAAATGAGTTCTCTAATTAAATTTAAAATAAACAAATATTTTAAACTTTTTTTCTTTTTAATATAGTTGGTTTGAAAGATGATACCTCACGATGTCGACCAATAAATGGCGTCAGCAATAATTGAGCAGCAGTTGGTCGATTACTTGGATCTTTGATAAGCATTCTAATCAAATAACAATTTATATTATCTACACAAATAGGACCTTTAGATGACAGATACATAATCTCTTGTTTTTCGCTTTATGAAACAATAGTATCGCTCCAGAAAGATCTTTTTCTTTCTCTTCAAATCTATATTTAACAGACCATTGCCATTGTTTCAAATCTAACGAGGGAACATATCCAATGGTCAGACGCCATTCGGGGTCATATTTTGGCTATGAGTATGATTCAGTGAAACTAAGAAAATCTAAAATGCATTCTGGCCCATGCCTTACCAAGTCAGAGTGAGTTTTCGACCTCTGTGCCAGCTATTCATGAAAAACTCAATTATGAGATTTTCATCTAAAATTTAGCTCATAGACAGATCTCATAGCCACTAGAATGTTCTAAAACTTTCATCGCAAACAAATATACTTTTCTTAAGACATCGAGTGCCTCAAAAAAATTCGATTGTAAGACTTGTCTTGTGATATATGAGCATTCGTTGGATACTCAATGTCTCAAAAAAAAAGAATATATATTCATTTCAGCTGAAATTTTTTAAGATATTATAATGATCATGAGATCTATCTATGGACAAAATCTCGTAACTGAGTTTGGTCGAAAACTCACTAAAATAGTCATAACTCTGGTTGGGTAAGACATTGAAGAAAATCTTTTTAGAGTTTTCTTAGTTTCACAAAGTCCTACTCATATGCAGACTATGACGTTGAACGGTATTCGACAGTTGGATATATTCCCTTGTAATATGTTTACAATATAATTCAATATTTTACAATTTGACTCCAGATTTAAGACTAGAATTCAATGAGATATACCAATTAAACTTACTTTTTCAGTAAATCATTTAGTTCTTTTGAATATGTTTTTGGAAGCTCAGGTGCTTTTCCCTCCACAACTTTATATATAACATTCATAAGACCTTTACCATCAAAAGCATGTTGATAAGTACACATTTCATATAATAAACAACCAACTGACCTAAACAAAATATTTAAAAATCTACTTCTATATATATGTCAACGTTCAATGTCGGATCGATGAAGAATTTTTCTTCAAAACCTTTGTTAGTATCTAGATAGATATTGGATTTACGTTCTTATTTGTGAACTATATTGAAACAGTGACATTTTAAGTATTACAATCATCAACGAAGAAACTAATGAGAGAACTGCCCTAAGTGACATTCGCTATTTGAGTTCATATTGAACCTACAGGCAGGCCTCAGTGGGACTAGCAAAAGCTTAGAAGGATTTGTCTCCATTGGTCTTTGGCGCGGAGTTGTGAGAAGTTTATTGGATTTTTAACTCATTTTTAAGTACTCCCCGGAAGACCGAATAACGAAGTTGTGACCTAAAACTTAATCTATAAATAATTCTAATGACTCTTAGAATATCCTGAAAGTTTCAGCCGAAAAGAATGTTCCTTCGTCGAGTTATTGAATTTTCAAGTGAACTCGATTTTTGTGATAAAGGGTTGTTTTTGAAAATTCAATATCTTGACGAAAGAATATTCTAAGAGTCATTAGACCTATTTAAATTTTAGATCGAAATTCTCTCATTTGATTGTTTAGAAACTACCTTACAAATGAATCTAAGATCCACTAAACCAGCCATAACTCGACAACCAAGGTCCATGAACCCAATATGAACTCAAACAGTAGGTGTCAGTTGGATAGTTCCCTCATAAATTCAGACTCGAACACTTTTCGATAATATTCCATAAAACCTGTTGCTCTCTAGAAAAAATATCACTGTTTCCACACAGTTTACCAATAACAATTCGAACCCAACATCTATCTAGAGACTAATGAAGGTTTTAACAAAAACTTCTTCACTGACCCGACATTAAACGGGTCTATTCTCAAATTCGAGATTGGACATAATCTCAGCATGGATGCTAGCATATATAAGTTTATTAATCCTACCAAATATCTGATTTTGATTCATATCCATCATGTTTCAAAACTTCGGGTGACATATAATATCTTGAAAAAAAAAATAGTAAAACTACTTTATAAAAAGAGTCTCTTATTAAACATACGGTGTTCCAGTAAATGTTGTAGCTACATCCATAGTTCCAACTAATATTCTACTTATACCAAAATCTCCAATTTTAATTTTATTAGCTTTAAGAAATATATTTCTTGCTTTTAAATCTCGATGTAATATTCTTGATTTATGCATATATTGTACAGCAATTAATATTTGTATTAACCATTCAACAATTTGATCTTCTTCTAATTTACGATTTTGTTTTTTTAATTCTTTTAAACGATGATCAAGATCACCACCTTCACAATAATCTGTTACAATGCATAAGCAATCATTTTCAAGAAAACTTTCATAAAACTAAATTGAACAAAAAGAAAAACAAAATTTAATCTTTTTCAATAAAAACAAAAAAAAACATCTCGGTTGTTTTACTTTAACAATATGTTCATTATGTAAACTCTTTAGAAGTTGAGCCTCACGAACAGAGTCAACTGTTTGTTCCTCATCCATTTCACCTAATCGAACAACTTTCAATACTTTTCTAAAAACAAAAAAATAATATATAAACTTCAATTAGAGAAATTAAAATTTCTAATTTTCATACGGTTCATGTTTTTCTTTAAGATCAGTAACAAGATAAGCTGTACCAAAATTTCCAGCACCAAGTTTTTCATCAATTTTATAACGTTTTTTATAAATCTGTGGTTCATCATTTTCAGCCATTATTAATAATAATCTGCAAAAAGAAAAAATTTTATTAATAACTTATACATATTAGAAAAAAAATATTGATATTTTTCTAAAAAAAAAAAAAAGTTCATTTTTTGATTAATAGAAAATATTTATAAATAATTCGATGTGTTCTTTTTCAATGTATAATTATCTATATTTTCTAGCTATACAAAATTTTTATTATATCTTTATATTTTTTTAATAATGATTTAAATGAAAAAAGACTTTTTTGTATTAGAACTTTTGTAGTAGATTCTATCAAGTAATTAAAAATATGCATTGTACTATGGATTTTATTTATCGAAATAATGAAATAAGAATGAGAATCAATCAAAATTGTATAATATAAATTTTAAATCTAAATTAATGTTTTCATTCATTTATAGCTTATTTTTACTGCATACTTCATAATATTGTATTACAAAATAAATATCTAATGTATCGATTTAACTATTATTTAAATGACGAAAATGCATTTAAATCAATCCTCATGTTACACTCATCAAATGACTCATTTTTAATAAAAAACAATCATAATAATTGACATATTTAAAATTTTTCTAAGTAAAGAAAAAAAAAAGAAGAATCTTCCTTCAATATGTATCATACTTTTCCTTAATAATATAAATTCTATCATACCGTCTTGCTATATCGTTTCTTTTTAATTTATAGATACAAATATATTATGTAGAAATGTGTTACATTATCGAAACAAATGCATCAGACTGTCATTATAAAGGTAAAATAAAATAGAAGTAAAAAAGAAAAAGTCATTTTGTATGATGTTGTTGTCTACAACACTCCGGTTTTTTTTCTGTTCTCATTCTTCTTAAATAGATGACTATAGCCATTGACGAACTAACAAGCAATGAAATTATTTTAAATAAAATTCTTTCGTCTTCTTTTTTTTGAAAAAGAGAAAAAAAAATAAAAATGCTGATTTTGTACAAAAAAAGAAACAATGAAAACCTTTCAGTTCTTTTGCAATGTTAAAAGAAATAATTGTTTGCTTTTGTTAGACGTAAGAAAACCTTGTGCTCATTTCAATATATAAAACATTTAGATTAATCATAAATGTTTTAAAATCAACAGACTTTATTATCATTAACGAAAAAAAAATCGGAAACTTATTTATAATTGATACATTATAAGAAAAAGACTTCGAACTATAAGTAATATATATTGAATATACAAATTTCACCTTATGACGACAATACTTGAATAGATGATACTTGAGATAAAAGTAAGCAAGAAACAGGTTGAGAATTTTTCGTTTCACCTAGCGACAATACTATTTCATTGATTTCATATTGTATAAAAATCATTTTCTTGTTTATCACTTATTGTTATTATATAAGAAAATAAGATAGTATGTTTTAACAATGGGAATTCTCTATTGTGTTGTATAATCATTTTATTAATTAGAAATAATTACATCTTATAAGAATATTTCTCATTTTCTTTTAATCTAATCTATTGAGTTGAAGAATTCTATATGTATATTAATATGATGACAGTCAGAGAATGAACATTCTCTCATCTTTATTTTTATTCTTTGTTAATAATAAAACTGAAGAAATCATATCAGAGAAAATTTGATGAAGGAAAAAACAAATCATTATCCTACATAACCTTTCAGTCCACAACCAAATTCATTCAAGGCTAATCGATGTTTATCTCATGTATCTTTCATAAGAGAAAATAAATTAGGATCAACAAGTACCCTATATTCGAACGAATCATGTAATGAATATATGTCTGTTTGATCTTAGAATAAGAGATGCTAGAAAATCTGGTATCCTTACAATGAACTAGTCTCATTAAGAACTTCACTTATATTAACCCTTTACCCCCCATAGAGGTTCCAGAAGAGCTATTGATGAAACAGCCATTGGAATAGAGTATTGGTGCCTCCAATATGCTAAAAGTACGGTCAGATCGATCAAACGCACACTTGAGTTTTAAGGTAGTTTGTTGAGGGGGAGTAGGGGGATCGATTTGGAAAAAATTTCGTGAACTTTCCATAATACCGACGGAGTTCGGCCAAAAAACGTCGTAGAGAGCTCGTGGACGTCTTATTTTGTAGAGAATTGTTCACTCTATAATTTTACGTAGTTTAAACAAAACTTTATTTTTGGATTGTAGACGGCCAAAAGCTAAGGGTTGCTTTTCTGGAAGTCCTTCAGTGACCATTCGATGCTTTACCACATCTTGCCTACCTAATGCTTTTCAAATTTTTGAAACTTATATAATCTACTAGTGGACACTTTCTTTGATGTAAACCACGCAACACGTCGCCAAGATATATATTGCCTAGAGGTAGAAAAAGAATTTTACCAAAAAAATTCCATTTTTTACTTTTTTTGAAAATCATCGATTTTATAAGTTGTATATCTCGGCACTAGCACAGCGAAAAAAATCTTTTTTTTTACTAGTCGATAGCTCATGAAGTTTACTACAAATAGTGCTCTTAGAGGTTTTGAATTCTATGCTTCCTTTATTTTCTGCAATCGTTCTACAAATGGTCATTCCAGTGACCAAGGGGGGGTAAAGGGTTAAGTTTAAATTCGAAAATCGATTTTGATGTAAGAATTTTAATGGATTTTGTTGAAAAATTCACTAAAATGACTATAACTGAACAAGCAAGACCTATGGAAGAAGATCATATTAGGCTTTTTCAAGTATCAATATGGAGTCTATCTAATGACGTAAGTCTCATTTCAAAAGCAATTCATTATTTGACGAGGTTCTTTCATCAGTCTTCTCGTGACTACGTAACTTACGAGGGGAGTCCTCCAATTGATAAAGCGTTTTTGAGTCGAGAATATATCCAAATAAGTTACAAATACTCTGAGAAAAGTGCATATCCTTAGCTTATTGCTGCGGAGATACTGAATTTTTACAGTAGCTTTTAAATAAATGCCATGGTTCACTTTAGGCAACAGCAGAAAAATTGATTTTCGAGTTTCAACTTCGTTGTTCATGTAAACCAACAAATTTAATATTCTTCTTTCAAGATAGCAGCAAATCAAAAGACTTGAGATGATTACAATAAACTACTCTTGTTAAGATCTATTTTGATTCAAAGTTTCAAATCGAAATTCGAAAATAAGTTTTTCTGATGTTCTTGAGGGAGACCATAGTATTCATTTAAAAAATACTGTAAAAGTCTACTATCTTCGCAACAATAAGCTAAGAGCACGAACTCTTCTCAAAATATTCACAATTCATTTGAGCCTACTTAATGCACATAGTTTCGACTCAAAAGTGATTTATCAGCTGGAGAACTTCCTTCGTTAATTGAGAGATCTACTTCAGCTCACTAAAGAATCTCTGCAACTGCGTCCATTCCTATTTCAATGTTTTGTTTTTTGCCTATAGATATTATACAATTATCTAATAAAAACTCTAAAAGAATTTCGATCTAAAACTTCGTGCATATAGAGTACCCAATTAGATTAGCTTTCTTCGACATAAATCAAAAGTTTTGAACAAAGTTTCTTCGAGATATGAAACTTTCAAAAAAATTCATGTTGTATACACTATTCATGGAAGGAGGAACAAAATCTTAAAAGCTACACGTCTCGAAGAAACTTTGTTCGAACCTTCTGAATTTTTTATGGAAGTCAGTCTAGTTGAGTTCTCTATATGCATAAAGGTTTCAGATCAAAATTCAATAGCTTAGTCAAATCTCAATAGGAATTCAAAACCTTTTAGGTTTTTTATTAGAAAACTATATAGGTAAAAAAAAAAAAAGTTGAAAACGGAAGAGAACAGCTGAAGAAGCTCCCTTATCAGTCAGAAACCATTATCATTCATTTTTTTTTGGTTTTTGATCTTTGATCAAGTAGTAATCTTTTTGTTTTCTGTTTCATAGAAAAACAAATTATCAATCAAATAATGTTAATTATATAAAAATATATCCATTCTGTCTATCTCTACTGACATCTATTCTATAAATGGAGATTTCGTAATAAGATTTATTCGACATCCAATCGACCTTTGTTGTTAATATTTTAGACGCTATTTTCATTAAATCTATTTCATAATAGAAAGCAATGTCTTCATCTTCGATGAATGAATTTATTTCAACAATTCTTGCTAAACCAAATAAAACATCGAATGATTTACAAGAAATAATTAATAAATGGCATGATGATTTATTAAAAAATGAAGATTATCTTCTTCAACATGCTAATCAATTAAATCAAAAACAACAAATACTTAATAAAACAACTGAATTATTTATTCAAAATCAAGATTTATTAACAAATCTTGAAGAAAATTTACAAGAATTTCAATTATCAATTCAAACATTAAAAAAATATAATGATGAATTAGAAAATAATAGTGAACAATTAAATAATGAAAGTAAAAATCTTTTACCAAATATTTTATCAAATCATAAAATTGAACAAGATCGTTCAATAAATTATGAACTTATGGAAACAGTTGATAATCATTTAAATGAACTTGATAAAACAATAAAACAACTCTATGAAAAGCTTCAAATAAATAAAGATAGTTCAATTATAAATACAATAGATGATTTACAAACATGTTTTGATGATATTAATAATCTTCAAGAATCTATGAAACAAATTAAATTATAAAATAAAACAAATAAACTTTTCTTTATATTCTAGATGAATTTTTTTCCTACACCTACAACAACAACAACACCATCAATAATTCCAATAACAACAAATACAACAACAACAGCACCAGCAGCAATAACAACAACAACAACTAAACCAGTAACACGTACATATCGTGATTTTGAACGTTTATTAACAAAATGGCAAACTGATTTTGATACAAAACATCGTTTATCATATGAAAATTTATCACAATCAGTACGACAACGTGATATTGATTTATCAACATATCGTGAAACATTACAATTAATACAACGTGATATAAATCATATGCAATTACAACAAAATCATTTACAAGATGAATTAAAATTATTAGATACACATGAAAAAGAATTAGAAACAAATATAATACGTTTAGAAAATGATATAACACAATTACCACCATTACAAAATGATATTTATTCAATACAACAACAAAATTTATATTTAAATCAAAATTTACCATTAACATTTAATGAACGTATGAAAAATTTTCAATTAATGGAACAATTAGATTCATTAGTTAAATGTTCAACAAAAGATTTACAAGAAATTGTTGATAAAATGAATGAACAAGATGATAATGATAATAATAATGATACAGATTTAATAACAAATCAAAATCTTGATACAACACTTATTAATGAACAAAATATAAAACAATTAACAAAAACATTAGATTCATGTTTTAAAATGTTAGCTTTTATTGATACTAATGTTACAGATATTGAAAATAAAGTTACACAAACAACACAACGTTTACTTAATTCATAAACTTAATTTTCTTTTTCGTTCATGTTTAAATAAGAAAAAAAAAAATTTTTTTTTTTTGATTTAATAACAATCTGTTTCTTTGTTCAAAAAAAAATCCAACAGTCTCATTGCATATTAAATAAAAAATCTTTATTGACATCTTGTTCTTTAGATTGTTATTGGCCCTATATTATTTTCACTAGAACTATTTTGCAAGTTATATGTGTAACGTATGTAGGTTTTTAATAAATCCTTTGTCTTTCATTTTATATGGGTTTCTTGAATTGTTTCGATATATTATAAATAGTACAAACTGTAATTAACCCTTTACCCCCCCAATGGGTCATATATGACCCATTTGTAGACACGATCAGAGAAAATAAAGATAGCATGAGACTGAAAAACTCCCAAGACATTATTTGTAGGGAACTCCACAAGCTATCGATTAATAAAAAAATACTTTGTTTCATTGCTCTACCTTCGAGATATATGACTTACAAAATCGATAATTTTGAAAAAAATGCAAAAATTCGAAAGTTTATAAACAAGATGTTCTCTACTCGCAATCGATAGAGGTCTTTTGGAATTTCTGTGTGATATTAATCGATGAAGAAGTCCACTGCTGAATTAGATGTGTTTCGAAAGCTTCATGCTAACTTCGTGAGCTAGGCATCCTAAGGAACACAATTGACCATGTTGTCACTGTTAGACAGATGGAGGCTAATCAAGAACAAAGTTAATATATGCGTTATAGACCTCAACTCATAAGAAGCCGAAATAGTATTTATGATGAATTAAATTCCTTCAGACATTACAAAATGGCTCAGAGTAAAATAGGCTTAAATTTGACAATAGGTGTAAAAAAAGCATGCATTCTTTGATGTTAATTTTTATCGGTTCGCTCGTTGCATTTTTCCTATCAGTTTAACAGGTCGAGACAGATGCTGCTTCTGTCCAGTCAATAATATGGTCAAAGAAAAAAAATTAAGTCTTATGATGTCGTTCAATTTCCATTTTCCACCACATGATTTTTACATCAATCAAACCGCCCTACTCCAGGAACAGGACGTTCGGCGCATTAGGCCACACCATTGGCATATTCAACAGGCTAATACTCTATTTATAAAGTTATTTCATCAGCGGCTCTTCTGGAACTGCTATGGGGGGGGGGGGGTAAAGGGTTAATAAAATGATATCATAATAATTTTTTTCAATCTTATACTGGTACTAATTACATATAAATTTGAGAAAAAAAAATAGATAAATAAAATTTAGTAAGAATAAGAAATGGAGAATGTAAGAAATTCATTCATTTTTGAATTGCTATAATATATATACCTATAAAATAATATGATTTAACTTAAGATATACTGATATTGTAAATAATAACATGCATCTTAGCCGAACAGTTTTCAAGCTTTCAAAGCACTTTGAATATTATTCAAAATTTCAACCGACAGCAGTAACACTTAAAAGCCTTATTGATTTTGGTATGTTTATATAAAGTTCGAAAAGATTATTCTTATTATTAATTTCTATTTATAGCTGTTAAAGATGATATAATAGCTTCATATAAATTTTTACGTGTTGAATTACTTGTTCGATGGTCTCATATGCGTAAAGAAATGAATTATATACCGGGAAGGTATGATAAAGAAAAATGAAATGAAATAAATAAATAAAATCTTTATTTAATTCATAGATTACTTGAAATGCCAAGTTTTAAACATATAAATTCACTTTATGATCAAAGTTTTTCAGAAATTCTTGCATTTAAAAATGTTGAGCCAACTGCAACAACACTTCGCAAGTACTTTGTATTGAATTTTTTTTTATTCTCAAAAAAGAAAAAAGAATTAACCTATTTTTTTTTTGAATTTTTCTATTAACATAATATAGCTTTACAGAAACATTAGTTGGTATTCGACGTCGACATGCGGATATTGTTCCAACTTTTGCTCGAGTTAATAATGTAATAATTATTTCAAATTTATTAATTTCAACATTGTAGGCATATATGGAAATGGAACAAACAGGTCCAGTTGATTTAATAGAAAAAAATCGTTTACAATATTTTTATGATCGAATTTTTATAAATCGTATTGGTATAAGAACATTAATTTATCAACATAGTAAATAAAGATTTTTATTTTTTATTAATTCAATTTAAAAGAATTTTATCTTTCTAGCTCTTTTATTTGGTAATGAATCTCCTCCAACTTCACAACAAGTGGGTATTATCGATCCTTATTGTGATGTAGCCCGTGTTGTTCAAGGTAAATTTTTGTTCGACGTTTATACTCATACTTTGTTTTCTTTTTTTATTATTATAAATTCTATATTAGAATAGTGAGAATTTTGAAATAATCTATAATACAAAAGTAATTATTGAAATCTCGATCGATGGTTCTCCGCTTAGGAACTTCGTAGAAAGTTTATTCTTATAAAAATTTGATATAAAACATCGTTAAAAGAGTTCTTACAACACATACTGTTGTTCCTATATTTTTTTTTTAGATTCTAAAGAAAACTTTTTTCTTGAAAATCAAATAAATGAGAAAGTAGTCTTTACAAAACTTTATTGACTTTTATGCTTTAGAAGGTTTCTTACGAATTCTTTAACAGTAAATAAAACATCTGATACATTTTTTGTTTTGATAGAAAACTCTACTTTGCATGAGACAGATAGGATATTGACAAAAAATTTCATCATTCGGGACTTGAGCTTGTTAGTAAAAGTTAAAATTAATTTGAATTTGTAGAGAGTTGTATGCTGTTTCGAAAAATGTGTTTTAGAAAAAAACAGGAGAGAAGTTTGTTCCGTATATGAAAAGTATTGCTAAGTCAGATGACTTAGATTTTGAAATTAATATAAAACTTGTAAAACACTTCGATCGTCAAGTATGATTAAAACATAATCTATTATAGGAAAACAAATAGGCATGATGCGAGAGATTCATTTGAAGAGAACAGAAGTTGAAAGAATTTTTTTGGTGACATCTTTGGTATTGAACGTTTTTTTGTTTATTTAAAGTTAATCCTAAAGAACTTTTCTTTCTATGGTTTTTGAAGCTCAAACTTTGTTCTTTTAACATGGAAAGAGACTGAACTCTCCACATTGTTTCTGAGCAGAAAACTATGGGTTGAAATTTCGGCAACTACTTTTGCGTTACAGTTTATATGACGATATTAATTAAATATCTTTTAATAGAAACAAGATAGAGAATTGCAGCTGTTACCATTATGAAAAGAAGATGAAGACGCACCATGTTGTATATTATTAATTTTTTTAATATGTTTTTTGAATATTTTTTCAATTGACTTTCTAGAAACAATGCTGGAACATGTTTGTTTTTTGTCAAAAGTAAAAAACGACTTCGAATTTCTAGTAGAATACTTATAAAGGGTGTCCCATAAGTCCTGAGTATCAATGAAAATTAGTTTACAGTAAAAACCTCTATATGTGAATACTCCTCCTTAATGAACACCTCGCTATTATGAACACCTCCTTATTATGAACGCTTTTTACTGGTCCCGAAGGTGTTTAGATTAGAGAGATTTTACTGTATATGTAAACGAAGAGTGATCCCTATAGATTTGCTTTCAAAAAGATCGATTGAAAACTTTAAAAAAAAACAACAAATGAAAAATCATTGTATTATACGATTTAATGTACCTGTATCTTATCTTTCTAAAAATGAAAGCTGCAACCTTCGACCTTGATTCTGTCAGACGTTATTCAAAATGTACTCGCCTTCTTTTCTTTTCTTTGAAAATGGCTTTAACGCATTATCGTCACATATCATAAAAAACAGTTCTTATCGAAATTTTATTATTATGACTGTAGTTGAAGAATGATCAATTTTTGAAAAATATACAGCACTGGTTTTACTATCAGCATATATTGAGAGACCATTTAATACCGTATCGAAGTGCCTCCATCATTACTTTTGGTATGTCCTAAATAGTATAAGTTTATCGAATGTGACAATAACTTCCAGATCGAATCTAGACGAGTGCAACACCTGTGGATCACGTGTAATCAAATATCTCATTCTTTATTTTATATCGCAGAGAAAAACACAATCTCAAAATATACATTATCTTCATCATACTTTATCTCTAAGTACATATAAAACTGATTATTTGTGAGTATTATTTCATCAGTCAAATCAAAACAAGACATTTTCTGGAAAATGTTACAAAGATATTGTCTGTAATTTAAGTATAATTACTAAAACTTTTCACCTCATACAAGTCAATTTATATTTGTATCATGAATTTATTTTAATTAGATAAAGTACGTAAAATGTTAAGTATTATATAAAAGTTCGTATAGATAACTACAACTATGTACTGTTTTAAAAGTCATTTATGTATTTGCATACATGTTCTTAATTTTTTAGAATGACATTTTGAATTGTATGTAATGCCTTTTTCTTTGCATGAATGGAATTTTCAACATATTTGTCAAGTACAAATATTACAAAAATAGATTTATTCCAATTAAAATATATTTCTTGCTAAGAAAGTAGGTGCAGCACCTGAGCATCAAATATCATTGCAAGGTGTTGCCCAGAAGCCTTTAATCAAGTTTTGATATAAAAACTTTATTTTTGAAAAAAAATCCAATTAAAATAGTATAATTCTCATTCATAACTATCACCTTAATTTTCAGTCTAGTCGCAAATACAAATCAGTACAACTAAAAAGTGCTAGACGTTTCAAATCTGTACTTTCTTCCTTCTCTATTGCCTCTTTATTTAAATACATCTATTGAATCAATAATATCTTTTCGTTCTAAATTCAATACCTACGTTATGTATATCTGTAATCTCACTCTTTCTATGTATGTAATAGAAGAATCTTGGTGAATAAGTATATCAAGCGACGTAATCAACATTTTTCTGAATTAATTCATTCATACAAATGTTGAAACTGTATTTAGGATGAGTCATCATCATCATAACACTAGATAGATGTTAGACTTCTAGAAATTTTCGATGGGTATGATCGATTGTTTTTAGGAATGTCTTGCTCTAATATTTTTTGTATCAATATGTTCTCAATTATGTTTTCTTTTTTTTTTTATTTTAAACGGTTTTGAAACAAAACAAATATTTTCGAAAACTTTCAGTCTAACCATCGATTTATATCTCTAGATATGATAGAAGTCAATAAAAACTAGTTTTTATAAAATATAATATTGTAAATTCTATACAATAATGTTGAAAAATGATGCAAAATATTTCTTTTTTTTTGTTTTCTAATGTTCTAATAATAAAATCTAAGACGAACTATTTTTAAAAGTGTAATTTTCATTTAACTAAAATTAAATGTAGGCAAATACATAAAAGAAAACAAAAACATATCTTTGTCCTTTTTGTTATTTTATAAAAATCAAGGTAGATGAATGAAAAATAATATTTGCTTTAGATTGATTACTTATCTATTTGACCTTCACATATTTTTTGTATCCATAGATGCTTATGCCACAGCAAAACGTTTGTTCGAACGAGCATCATATCGAGTTCCTGATGTTGAAATTACATCTTATAATGGTAAAGATATTACGTTGAAAATTAAAAAAGTTAAATCAAGAATTTCTTTATTTAATTCTTAGCACGCCAGAATGAAGACAGTCAAGTAACTATTGTCTATATTCCAGCTCATATTTATCATATTACATTTGAATTATTAAAAGTAAGTTTTTGTGTTTTGTTTTTTTTTTCTAGAAAGTTTTAATTTTTAATTTTTTGTTTTTCTTGTAAAATAGAATTCACTTCGTGCAACTATCGAACGTCATGGGTTAGATGCAAAAACCTACCCATCTGTACGTGTTCATATTGTTAAAGGTCATGAAGATTTAACAATAGAAATTGCTGATCGAGGTGGTAAGTTTCATAGAAATTTTTAATCAAATAAAATTAATAAAAGAATTATTAGTCTTGTTAATATTAGACAACAAAAGAATTTCGAATATAAATTGATTCTAGAAAAGCGTTATTTTATCAAAAGTATGAAATTTATCTTATGAAGACAGATCCCACAGTATGAATCATCGATTGAATTGATACTTTTTTCTTATAGGTAGAGTCCGATAAGGCTAATAGAAGTCTAAAAGAATTCATTTCTATGCTTTGCCTTTCGTAGTCTATCACTGTTTTGCCGATTTTCTTATTTATAGTAAGATATTTATGAAAAAAAATTGAATTATAGAGTTTTAATCTGAAATCTCCTTCATAGATATAAATCTCATGGTTATTCGATTGTCTTGAAAATTTCACCTTAAAAGAATATAGTTTTATTGAGGCATTTTCTAGTCGTTCCTTATGATTCATAATCATTCCTCTGACATCCAATATCTCGGTTTTTTAAGCTGAAATTTTTAAGATATTTTGTCGTAAATACCCAATTGTAGGTAAGAAAATCAACAAAACTATTATAAATCAGGAAAGATAATGCACTGAGATGAACCTTTGTTAAACTTCTTCTGGTCTTATCAGACGCTAATATTAACGAAGGAAAAAAAAAGGGAGCGTTGAAGTGTAGAGATAGGAATTTGGTGACCTCTCTCACAGATCGTGATAAGGAGGATATACGATCAAAGACCGTACATAAACAACGTCTCATTATGATATATGAACTACTTCCTTATTGAATTTCTAGAGGATTAAGTAAAAAAGATGGTAAAGAAATGTGTCTCAAAATAGATAGAATAAAATTATCTCCCTACCATTAGCAACAATAACTATATCATATTTCACATTTCAATCCAATAAGATGTGCTCTCACAGCCTGGTTTTTTTTCTTAATGTAATTATTAATTATGATTTTGTAAAGGTGGTGTTTCACGTTCAAAATTATCTCATTTATTTCATTATATGTATTCAACTGCACCTAAACCTCAAATAGAATCTACTGGTGATGCAAAAGGAACCCCTATTGCTGGTCTTGGTTATGGTTTACCAATAGCTCGTCTCTATGC